GGAAATTAACTTCGATGTTTTATACCTGACTCAAAACGCTGCGTCCCGGGAAAAATTAAACACAGCCCATTTTCCTTACTGAAAGGAAAGCCCTGAAGTGCCGTCAAATATATATATTTCCCAAAAAGTTTACTATATTTGTGTTGTGTTCTTATTGACCAATATGACTATCATTCAACAATCATAGAGTTCTTCATGATTATGTTTAACAATGCTGCAATTTTTTTTAAATATTCACTCGGAAAAGGATCAATATACTTACAGTAACGCTCTGCTCCATATGAATTTGTAAAACCATGCAAAGGCATCATGGAGCAAGGAAATAAAACGTCATTTCAAAGGATTACACTGCGTTAGGCTACTTCCTGCATCGATCAAATAACTCCTTAATTGTAGTAAGTCGAACACAACAACGTTAGCACTTGCCCGCAGTCTCTCGTCCATTGTCCACGGATTATCTCGGATCGATGCTCGCATCTGGAGTGCCCTACGAGCATTCTGAACCCACAGTGTGCCATCTTAAAGTATGAACCATCCCTTATTTTTCACAAGAGTTGATCATACAAAAGGTCAAACTGTGCAAGAATTTTTACTTATTTCTATCCATACACAAATCATGTCAAACTGTGCCAAAATTACCTCATTCATATTCATAAATCAAACGTGACTTTTTCCTATGAGCTGGACTTCCCGAGGTTATATCACCGATGTTCAGAACGCATTGTTGTCAGTGTAAGTTACAGGATTTTCAATTACATATGATAAAAGTGCCTTATCATATCATTCATGTTTGCAGATGAAGTGGAAGCTGGCCCATGCTGTGGAAGAAGCTGCCGAATCTCTTGAGACTTTCCACGTCGATGAGCCTGGCCCTTCAGCTCGCCCTTCAAGTGCCTGCAGCATCTCCACCAGAGTTGCTCCTTCTGCCGCTGCCTCATCCAGATCCAAGTCCTAGAAGCTTTCTTAGGCAAGAAGCCTTCCCCTCAGGCCTGGCCAAGCGAAGTCAGCAGATGATGAGCCTCCACTCCACGAGCTGAGCAGGTCTTCGAGTGACTTACACCCAGTGAAGACCGCGACCGCGAGGTCTTCTCCGAGTGGATCCAGTAGGTCATCATTGCTCGAGACCATGGGCTATGGAGGCCCTGCCAGCCAGACATCACTGATAATTAGCAACCTCGTGCACCTCTTCATCGTGGAGAATGGCATCATCAGGAGGCAGCATCTTGGCCAAACTTAAGGCGGGGCATCATGGCCAGCGCACCTATGCCACAATATGCTCCGTCCACCATCAGGACAGACGCTTTATTCACAGGACAGCCTTCCTTTCACTTGAGCCAGTTCCTGGATCTGGACTTGACTAGTATCGGTAGCAACAGCCTAATGAGTAGGACCACCGTTGTGCCTTACTGTGACTCTCTCGTAGATGTGTATATGTATGAAATGAACAAATTTGCACTATAAAAACTTCCGGGCCAGATTGACCCAGAATTGGGTCCCATTCGGTATAACCCTTTTCTGGGTCAAAATATGACCCCCTTTCGGGTCACATTTCACCCTTTTGGGGTCATATTTGACCCTTTCTGGGTCATAATTTGACCCGCAAAAGGGTTATAACGGATGGGACCCAATTCTGGGTCAATCTGACCCGGAAGTTTTTAGAGTGTGACATGTTCATTGATAGGTGATTCTTACGAAATAAATTAATGAAATATATTAATGTGTTTGTTCTTCATCATTGAATTATAGACAGAGAACGATAAAGAATAAAAGTAAATCATACAATGATTATGGTTAAATATCATTAATTACTCAAACGATGTTCTTTCATCCTTAAAGTAGACATTTATTACAAGTATTACAAGTATCTTAAAATTATTATGGTTATATATCATTATTACACATACAATACAATATACGGCGTGTCTTTGCAGTCATTCCACAGGGTTCTAGGCGTGGGAATCCTAAACTTCCAACCCAGGTTCATTTCGGTCTCGGTGTAAATCTGAGCATCAGACATGAACTTGTATAGCCACCAACATCAATCCACATGAACTGGTTTCTGTGTCCATCAGGGCCATCGTATCACAGATGTGAATGTTGACATCAATATAAACCTTTTTCTGTGATGTCATAATCGTGCTGGACCTATGGGTACACCGCAGCAAATCAATTCCCAAAGAAATCAGTGATAAATACCTGTATTTCACAAATATTTAAAAAGTACTCACAACTCTCACTCTCTCTCAATTTTTAGTGGGTTGACCGATGAATTTTCCAGCAATTCTCACCCAAAGCAGACCACCCCTAAAATGAAGGAAATGTCACTGCCCAGAAAAGTAGCCATTTTGAAAATGCATCCCTCTGCAAAACGGCTAAAATAGTGTCACTTTCGGACCCGATTGCATCCAAATTGCTCAGAATTAGAAGCCCAGACAAGATCACGATCTTGAAGCAGAATAACCTGGAAAACGACGTAAAAAGTGAGCACATCAAATAGACCTTTTGTTTTAATGTAGGTTTCCCGGTTAATTTGGGCAAATGAACAGCCAATTTAACTGTGCCATTCTATTTCGCGTGAAATGATCTCATTACAAGACTAGGCAAAAGTATTGTGGCTTCATTCGATTGAACTAAATTATCACCTAAACTAACAATGTAACCTAAACACATTCAATTTCGCAAGCGCGCTTTCGAGGTGTGTGTTTGCTCTTGCGTTTTAAAAACTAGAGCGCTGTCAAAGGTGTACCTGCTGAGCGCATGCATGTTTGCGCGTAAACCTTAGGAAAACACGAAAGTTTTGCACGGCTATTTTCATATCTGCGTTTGTATTCTAAAACGACACATTAACAAAGTCGAAACGCGGACAACGTGAACACACAAGAAATAAAATGTGCGTTTCATTTTGCTCTACGCCCCCCAAAAAATAAACCAAAAAAAAAAAAAAAAAAAAAATAGAACGGCAAAGCCGCCATGGCTCACTGCTTGTTATGAATTCGAATTTCTTTCCTGTAATAACAGCTTATGTTAAGAGGCATCCAAGTAATGCAAATATGGTTACTGAATTATACTAACCAAGCTTCATCCAAATTTTTTACAAGATTGGTTGACATACGACTACAATACTGATGTACAAGATAGTTTATCGACCTTAGCGATTAATTTCCTTATACTCTAGAAGAAAAACCTAGTTCTGCGTGCAGACTGCGTGTTGAAAGGTGCCTGTCGTTTAAAGTAAATCAACAAAGACCACAACAAGGGAGATACAGGTACAAAGGCTTCACAGTTCCTTACAGAAGAAAGGAATGCCTATAGAATGTGGGTCTAGTACAGTCAGACTAGACCTGGATGATTATATAAGCAGTGAGTTTGTGAGTTTGATGGATGATACATACTTAAAATTCCTCTTAAGTACAGTTTTGCACATTGTATCCAACCCAATCATCCTATCCTCTACAATTCTACCCTCCCCCCATCATCCCATATCCCATCACCCCATGTCTACTTTGACTCCACCCCAATCCCATCTACCTCCAGTCCCACATCCACCTTATCTTTCCATCCATATCCTACTCCGCCCCTCCCCATCATCCCATCAATCTCTTACTCCGCCCCTTCCCATCATCCTATCCATCTCCTACTCCGCCCCTCCCCATCATCCCATCAATCTCTTACTCCGCCCAACCCCATCATCATACCCATCTCCTACTTCGCCCCTCCCGCTGGCTGTCCTATCATCCCACTAATCCAGGCCAACCTTATCCAGCATTTCATCCACTTTCTACATACATGTACATGTACCTTGTTCCCCATGATCCTCCTCCTACAGGTACCCTCCCTCAACAAACATCCTAATCTGTCACTTGGAGTCCTCCCCCTTCGGTTTTTCCCAAATAGGCCTACTGCACATGTAATGATTTGTATGTGTCTGAACACTGTCTATAGTTATACATACATATATACAGTACATAAAGTACATGTACATTACAAGAGTGCTCAGCACATATGTATGTACTACAGGGTAAGTACGCAATACAACTAAAAACGTCAATATTCGACTTTTCTAATTGTTTCATTAAATTCATAAGTTTCTAAGCATTAATGCCATATTGAAGACTATTTAAACACTGATGGAATTCCAAGAGGAAGCAAACAAGCACTCAGTGGCACACTTTAACACTTACGAACCTGCAAGAAAAAAATTAACATTTGAGGACGGCCAAACGCCCCGACGCAACGACGGACGGACAGAAGACGGAAATCGGTATTATCATACATAGGCTCGCATTTGCTTCGCAGCTCGCCCCCCCAAGAAAAACAAAACGCGTGCGCGTACTGTACGCTGTACATGAATGTTGCCGTGAAATTGTCAATTTTTGCACACTGATCAACAAATCACGATGGAACTGACCCAAAGTGAAAATATTGCCCAAGCAAGACCGAAGACAACAGCTGCAGTTGTGAAAAGTGAATAAAAACACACAAACATTCATAAAACGGGGTAACATTATCGATTGCGAGAGGGCTATTATTTAAATTTAAAAATAGTCAGTTAATTCCAGAAATGAGATTCTTGAATTTTCTGTTTGTCTTCTGCTTGTTTTCGAGAGGGAGGCTGCAGGCTTGGCCGCAGAAAAAGGTTTTCTCCACAATAAATTTTTACTAAATACACAGCATACAGCATCACCTGCCCTGAAACAGCGCGCCGCCATTGTTTGCCTGCGCATTATGATGAGCTTTGGCCGTGTCCGAAACGGGCTTCCAGAGCTACGGCTAGGTCTATTGTCTATGCGTCTCCACGCATTTCGAATGGAGCGAAGACCCAGACCTACCTAGCACTAGACAACAGATTCGGATGCAGCCTCTTCTATTTCATTCAACGCCAACGTACGTGCTGACGTACATGTATACGTACGTCACACTAATACACGTCACGTGTACATATGTATACATTCAGTAAATGGCGATATTTTCCACGTGTGTGATCCTATGCTGTGGTGAGTAGGTCTTTTTCTGCAGATGCTGTAAACACTTTACGAGACAGATGATTGTTTTATTTCTAGGAGTTTAATGTGGAGGGAAAAAAAATAGCAAGTGGCCTTTTGAATTTGGCTTAACGTGGAATACCAGTAGCCCGGCGGATGGAGGACGAGCGCTGATCGGGCGCAGGCCGCATTCGTAGGCCTAGTACTTAGTAGTAGACTAGCAGTACCGCTTACACTACCATGTTGGTACGTACATGTACACGTAAGCCTACATGTACATCACATTGGCCTGCAATAGAATCTAACGTTAGACTCAGTCATACTCATAGCACAGCCGTACATGTGCTAGTCAAGATCCCTAGAGGATGTTTCAGGAGGAAACTGTCCAAGTACTAAGTAGAATGTGTACATACATGCATTTAGGCCTATTGTCCCAAAACTTACTTTGAGCCACACTCCATCAGCATGATCATGTATGTGACTCATAGGTCCTGACTTTCATGACTTTCGTTTGGTTTATAATGCTGTCTGGCTATGGGATTTGAATGTGCCCTTTTATTCTGCCTAGGCGATGTGCCTCACTGGACTGTTTAACAAGCAATATTTGGCAAAATCTGGACCGAGGCTTAAACCTTTTTCTTACGATCCTGCCTTTATCAACAAAACAATCTGTACATCTGAGCTACATGTACCATGCATATGCGTATGTTCTTTGACACAGGAGACTGGTTCCCATCCTGTCCTCCAAACGTGTATGGTTCGGAGCAGTTAGTAGCGAATAATTACTTGTGTGTTGGCATTACTGTCTCAAATTTTTTGCATTTCTAATACAACTTGGAAAAATATTCAAACAATGTTGTTAACATTACTTTCAGGCCTAATGGAATGGCCATAATTCTTGGGGGATTAGACCTAAGAAAGCAAGCATTTTTAAGGATTGTTTCAGACACTGATAAAAGAATTGGTCCATCAAGAGCAGTGTTGTAGTCGAGATCATCACAAGACCAGTCACAAGACCAGTCACAAGTAACAGGGTGAACAATGACAAAGGAACGCTTTTGTTGTAGTTCATTTGAATAGCTTGTGACTTGAATTCAGACTGGAGGTCTTGTGCTGGTCTTGTGCTGGTCTTGTGTGGTCTTGTGAAGGTGTTAAGTGGTCTCGACTACAACACTGACCAAGAGAATGAAATTTGCAATACCCGCATATTTTTATTCCCTAAGCAAATAATCTATTCCGCTAGTAACAAGTCACGATGTGCAGAACTTGTCAAGTCACAAGTCAAAACCTGATAAGTCAAGTCACAAGTCATAACAATAGCGACTTAAGTCTGACTGGAGTACAAGTCAACTTAGTCAAGTGACTGGAATCTACAATTCAGCAAATATTTGAAATAAGCCTACCAGTACAAGTAAAACGTTTCAGTCTCCACGTTATTGAAAGCTGTAGGCAATATTATGTAGTTCATACAAAATCATATCCAAGGATTGTGAGACTGTTGGGGGAAGGACAGGGGTGAGATTTTTCATCTTTTTAGCTGATTTCAGCTTTTTTTGTTTTGGATTTCAGCTTTTTTTCCTCACTGACTTTGTACAAAAGTATAGGAGATTTTCACAGTTCAGCTTCTTGATGCCTTTTTTCAGCAGGTTTCAGCTATTTTTATCATTGGTCAATCTCATCCCTGGAAGGAGTACAATGCACTGCAAAACCCTCAAAAATGCCTACATTGGTGTATCTCAATTAATGTACAGTACTTGTACACTTTTAATAAATGTACATACTTATATTATTTTTCACTGTCTTAGAAGGGTAAAGATTTTCTTGTTTATGAAAAAGATAAACATGCTAGTTTATGCATGTTGTGGGGTCAAATTCTAAAATTTCCTGACACGTGCACAGGGTCAGACTGGCCCAAAATGTCAAGTTGATGAGGTATTTTTTGTCTTGACACACCATTTACATGTAGCTCTACACTACACCTCCACTGAAGGTCTGATCACCATGAAAACATTCTGATGCATTGTCAGGTTCCTACCGGCACATGTTGAAGAAAAAAAATTTCGAATCCCTTTCATTCATTTAATAATACTGACTCTCAAAATTTGGTATACATGTGCAAAACATGCATCTTGATATGTTTAGGAATTTTTAGGGGCAAATCTCAGTTTCGTTACTTTGGAAGGTTTTGAATTGCCACGGAATGACCTCTGGTACTAGTACTTGTGCATGATTATAAAACATACAAGCACCTACATGTACATGTATAGCCAAGTGTGCTTTGTATTCCATCTTGTGCAACTACATGTATAGCCAAATGTGCTTTGTATTCCATCTTGTGCACCTACATGTATAGCCAAGTGTGCTTTGTATTCCATCTTGTGCACCTACATGTACATGTATAGCCAAATGTGCTTTGTATTCCATCTTGTGCACCTACATGTATAGCCAAGTGTGCTTTGTATTCCATCTTGTGCACCTACATGTATAGCCAAATGTGCTTTGTATTCCATCTTGTGCACCTACATGTATAGCCAAGTGTGCTTTGTACATGTATTCCATCTTGTGCATGTACATGTATAGCCAAGTGTGCTTTGTATTCCATCTTGTGCACCTACATGTATAGCCAAGTGTGCTTTGTATTCCATCTTGTGCACCTACATGTATAGCCAAGTGTGCTTTGTATTCCATCTTGTGCACCTACATGTATAGCCAAGTGTGCTTTGTATTCCATCATGTGTACTGGTATTGTACTGAAAATATTATAATTATTGTACTGTGTCATTTATTAATTTAGAAGACGAGTCACGTTATGGCAGAAACTGATAGGAATGCTGAAGTGCCTTATGACCCAAATGACACGCTAAATTCATCTGTGATATCAGGAGATGTTACACTGCCCAATGAAAATGATGTACTCTCTCCTGAAAACAGGTGAGTCTATTGCCGTTTGATTTCAGTGTTTTAAGAAACCCTTCAAGATGCTGTGGATGCAAGTCAATTTGGTCTGACACCAACTCAGTTCAAGTCAACTTGCTTTCAAGTCAACCTGGTCTCAAGTCAATTCAGTCCAAAGCCAACTCATTCTCTGTGGAAAATGTAATGAACAGAGAATGCCTGATTTAGTTATCGTGTATTCAACAATAAGAATAACGGAAAGAATAAACAGATCCATAATCATTCTATCACAAAGAAAATGACAAGGCTAAAAATTTAATCTCTAATGATCAATATACCTTCACAACTACAATTACTAGCGTGGTTCATGTGTGATCTGTGACAGACTGATCCAAGGATGCAAACTCATTACAGTGGCCAGCATGTGTTGGCAGGCATCGTGGCACCAGAAAATTTAAACCGTTGGCATCGGTTAATGTACTAGTACATGTACATGTAACTCTGAATGAATCGAATGAAACTACTACCATAAATCTTTACCTTCCATAACTTCAGAGTTGCAGAGTTTTTGATTCTTCGACACCATACATGTATGTACATGTGTGGGGTAGGGCGGACACCTGGGAGTTTCACAAAATTGTGGAAAGTAACCACGCCATGCCGATGAAAACAACCGCAACGAGCATGCGCGTAACGTGTACTGATCAAAGAAAAGATTGTGTAACCCCATCCTCAGACTGGCTGGTGCGTGCGTACATCGCCATGGTCACTGTTTTCACCGGTTCGGTACCTGCCATTTTGCAAGAATCCTGGATGCCCACTCTGCCCCATAGTGTGTATTGGAAACTAGAAGGCTAGACTAATCTGTGTGATTAAATTCAAATCCTGCCATGCAGTATGATGGCTAATGGTGGTGTACCAGGATGCACTGTTGATGAGGGAAAGGCTGATGCAACTGAAACATCCCAGGATGCACTGGTAACAGCAACTAATGATCCAGCTGATTTAGAAGACGTCCAACCTTTACTACCAGCATCTTATAAAGAAGGTAGAACAATGCATAGTTTAACTGTTCTATTTCTACATGTAGGTGTTCCCTTTTCAGGTGTACATGCACCACCCTCCATTGTATTTGGTCTTTGATCTTCTCAGTACCCCACATCCCATTTTCCCGTTTTAGCCACCAGTGTTCTCAACCCCACCCTTTCTGTCCTGCATTCTTCCATGTGTCACTAATTCCTTGTGTGTTTGTCTCTGTCAACTTGTCATTTTGTCATTGAGGAATATCCCACTAGGATCAAAATGTCAGGTCCTCTAACTCATATGCACATGTACTGGTACACAGAGATAATTTGATAAGGACTGCACATATTAATGTGAGGGAACTTCCTAGACCGTTGATGGTTCTTGGACAAATTCCCGATGAGTTGTCCTTGGCACTTTGATGTGATTAATTGCAGTCAGTTTTTATTGTATATTGTTGATCATGCATGCTTGTGTGTGATTCATAATTGACAGTCATCCCCATCATAAATAGTAATTTGTTGCTGCAGTGTTCACTGTTTTCAAGAGTTGGATTTAAATCTGTGTGCTGGTACATGTGCATGTACTTGTACTTACTGTAACAGTTTCAGTTTTAATCACAAGGATTTTGTGAGCAATGTGCCTAGCGATTACAAGTAGACATTTGATATGGGAAAAGGATCAGCATTGTGTTCCATGGCACTTTGAGGCTGATAACACAGCTTTGTGCATAGTACTGGTATATGTACATGGCCTCTTCAGAAGTATTGTTTGAATCATTTTTAATTAATAGGCATGTAATGTTTAACATGTTTAAAGCTGTCTAGTTTCGCTGGAAAACATTTTCACTAAAGCTCCAATCACTGAACCACAGGATGTGTACTTTCTGAGTTCTGAAACTGAAACTTTAAGAAGTGATGAAGCCAATTGCATGTCTTTCAACAAAAGCAGATTTACTTGGATGTACATGTGTTGCTGTAGTACATTTTCTTCATTTACATGTATGGTACCTTCTGTGTTCATGTTAATTATGGTCCAGTATTGAAAGGGTACACATGTAGGTACCCCCAACAGTCCCAAATCCTGCAACTTTAATATGATTTTACATACACCCTACTTACATGTACATGTAGGTGGTAAGGGTTAATTTTTAAAGGCACATGGGACATGAGTAGAAAATTATGGGCAAAGGGAAGCTATAAAATGTGGGTAAATGTGAAACCTGGGAAAAATGAACCCAATTGGATGTTACACAGGTACCGCTAATATACATGCATTTAGCATTGCTGATGATTCTGCTTGAATACTTCATAAAACTTGCTTGTCATTCGTATTGGTCAGAATTTAGCCATGATCTACCTCCAAAAGGCTCAGGAAAGGAGATGCATGCTTTATACTAAAACGTAGATCTGAGCATGGATTGTAAAAAATGTACACTGTACATACATGTACTGTGGGCCACACAAGCGTAACTGACCTTATCTGATATCTGTGAGTAGGATGACCTTGGAAGAGAATTGTGTGCATTGTGATCCCTGGCTTGGCGTTCACTCTCTTGAATTCCTCTTGTTGATAAAGTGCCAGTTGTATTGTACCATGCAAGGAAAAAAATGTGGACCATTGAATACAGGTCACTCAGGAATAGCGGTACATCTAACATGTCTAAGGCAGTGAGGGCATTAAGTGTAATATTTACCGACTTGTGTACATGTAGGTGTGTGAAGGACAGCAACCTACATCTACATGTATTGTACATGTAGTTTGCCAAGTTGCGGTATTAATTTACATGTACCGGTATATTACAGTGTACATGTGTACATGTACATGTTGATTAGTCGCATGTACATTACAGCATGTGGAGTTGCAAGTGAGCATGTGTCATATACGTTGTACATACACCTACCATACATGTGTACGGTCGGACATGCAGGTGACATGTACCAAATAGAAACTTGTACACATACCCTGTAGTTCCTGAACAGTCACTGCTTTAGGGTACATGTACATGTACATATACGTGTACAGGGCATCGTTATATCAGCTTGTAGAAAAGTTGGAAGCACCTTGTCTAGAGGGCATCATGACCAAAACCTACCACAAGAAGGCCAGCAGGAATGGTCATAGAGGAGCAGTTGTACCAATTGAAATAAGCAAAGTTTATACAGGTGAGTAAATATATGCATGCACAGGTATATCTTAGCAATCAAGAAGTTGGTAACTGCTAATTAAGTAACACAGTTACTAAAAGTTTATTATGAATTTCCAATTATGGCTAGGATAAACATTCATATACAGTATGGACCCAACCTTAAATGGTGTACATGTACCGGTATATACCAGTATGTAAAACTGGATTCTTTTTTCCTAGTTTTATCACCCAAACCTTTGCCGATTTCAACACAGCCTTTATAAGAGGGAAGTATTATAAGTTTTGTAAACGGTAAAAATGCATGCACATGTACACCTACATGTACATGTACATGTCAATGTACATGTATGCCCATGTACATGAAGGTGCACTAATCTTGAATAGTAATTGATGACAGTTTCCCCAAATCAAATTTCATTTGGTAAACTGGCAGTATTGTCTTGTGGCAACAGATGAGTAAATGTAGTGAAACTGCATGTTAAAAATGTTCTGTGGGTACTGTACATGTACTTTCAGTTTTGCTAGATTTTTAATAGAATTTAATTACATGTTTCTGTAATTCAAGGCAGTTGAGTGTTATGAAAATAGGAAACTAAACATGTCCATGAACTTACATCTGTAGCCTCTTCGTGTAGTGTTAACTTCATTAAGTTCCACACGTGACTGTACAGTAGATGACCTTCAGTTTCCACTTACATGTACATACATGAGTGCCCAGCCCACTGTAATGAGTCAGAGGTCATCAGACATATTTGCTTGGGTTGCAAAGCCCTTTAATTGAATGTAAATCAATTTGATGTACAGGTATGGTAGCCGTATATAACGCACCATTAGGTCTATGTACTGGATATGAGGAAGTGTCAACTCTGTCATTCATGGTCACAAAGTATTCAGTCATGTATACATGTGTATTTGTCCATTCATCACATAAACTGACATGGTATTCTTTTTATTCGGCCATCAACAACATACAATTCCAAAATTCAAACAGAACACATAAACGAGTGAACAAAATAAACAAAAACGAACCAATCCAAGTTTGCCAGGACTGACAAGAATATAACCAAACACTGTGTCGCTAAAGCTTGTCAATCCAAACTTGGCGAGGTACATATCATCGGTGTCTTCATGAAAGTGATAAAAACCCTAAAAATTGATAAAATTTCAATTTGGAGTTTTCCTACCATTTTACCTCCTTTGATCAAAAGAACAAATTGGAAGAGTTTCAAAACAAAATGTTGTTTACTTTCCTAGTAACTGTAAACAAACAACTGACAAAAAGCTTGGTCTGTGTTTCTCTGTTTTCACGAAGTAACGAAAAATCTCATCGTTAGCAGGGCAAAAATAAAGACAACAATCCATGCACAAGTCTCTGTGTGTGTACACATGCTGTGAATGATGTACATTGTACATAAACACCTGGGAGCGAGCTTGTTGAAATGAAATAAAATGTAGCAGTTTCCTTCAAGTGCATATATTTTTTCAGGAAGTGACAAGTGTATGATGCAGTAGGATAAGAAAAAAGACCTCTGGGGTTTTTCTGATTTCATGAAGTGAAAAAAACTTTCATTAATGTTTATTAATGAATTATTCTTTAATTAAGACGATATATCTGCAAATAAGTAGGGTTAGCCTTTTTCAAGTCTTAAATTTCATGAGTTTGTAAAAAATTCATCAATCATATCATAAAAGTGATCGAAAGTGCGTGTTGAAAAGGCTGATATTTTTAAAGGTGTTTATCATGGATTGTCCGTTTGACAAGATTTGCAGTTTTTGTGACTTTGTGAAAACACTGATTATATACACACATAAAATATCAAGACTTTACATGTACATGCCCGTATAAAAAAGATGTACTTAAAAGATAATGACAAATAATAAAAATTTCTGATAAACTTAAAAGAGAGCATGAAAATAAGTTAAGGTTTTAAATTAAAAAAAAATGTTTTATTTATACAATAAAAAGGACAGAAAAGGGTTACCAGATTCAAACATAACAATAATACATATGATGGGGGAGTCTGAGACTCTGTATGGGGATGGCAAACATTTCAAGAACCTAAATCATATTAGGCACAAACATCTGTACTGGGGAAAGCAATAATAATCCCAACATCTAAAGTCAGAGGCATGACTGACAATTGACTGCATTGTACTGTCGTAGAAAACCCAACCCTTTGCGTTCATAAGACTGTACATGTGTACCTTTCACTAAAAAAATATGACAATAAAAAAATATAAAAATAAATAAAAATCTGATAACTTAAAGGAGAGCATGAAAATAAAATTACGTACTAAATTTATTTTTAAAATTTTTATTTTTAATAAGAACAAATATATGTATTTATATATTCACTGTAATGACAAAAAAAGTAAGGACCAAAAAGGTTGCAAAAATCAAACCAAAAATGATACATGTGATTGGTGGAGACTGTGAAACCGTATGGGGACGGCAAAACTTTCAAAAACCTAAATCATATTAGGCATAAAAATACATATGGGAAAAGCAATAGTAACCACAACATCTCAAGTAAATGGCAAGACTGACAATTGACTACACAGTCATACTCACAGTATAGAGTTAAAATCCAACCCTTAGCTTTCATGAAAATGGGCGGCTATACTGGTGTTGAAGCAGGTATATGAATCAATTAATAAGGAATCCTTGGAAATACATGGCTGGGTGTGTTTTTTTGAGAGTGAGAGTTCTGGTGTAGTGATGATTAAACGTCAGTTTATCCAGGTGCTGAATATTAACTGTTGCAGTAAATGTAATAGATTGACAGTCTACTAAATACATGTAAGCCATTTGTAAGTTAAATTTGAATAAAATCTGGTGGTCAAATAGACTGCACATAAACATAACAGTTTGAATTCCTCAGACTAAAGACATATACCTCGTGAATCGGGGCAAGCTTTTGCATAGTGACCACCATCTCTGGAATGGACTGGTTCCTTTGTGCCCTTCTTATCCATTAAGCACACGGTATTGTTGCAGGGCGTCTCTTATGTAACTAAGCAAAAGCTTGCCCGGAATCACGAGGTATAGCAACAGTGGTTTTAGTAAGGAGAATTCAAATTGTAATATTCACATGAATTTAAAGAACTCAGTGTACCAGATTTGGGTCAAAGTGAACTCGCAAAAGGCTTATTGTACAGGCATTTTTACAGTAAAGGAAACAGGGTGTTCCTGTCTTCGTTCGTCTAGGGTCAACTAATTCAGTTTTTGAAGTCTTTCTTCATAGGACATTTTTCCTTTGCACTGCTTCAAGCACGTTCCACCAGCCCTCCTTTGCACCTTTTTCCAGTTTGGCCGTATTTGATGCTGTGTATGGACACCGTGCTGGCAGTCCATACTCAAGCATCGGCAAGATGAGTGAAGAATACAATGCTGCCAAGGCTTTGGTTGATACCCCTCCTGCAGTCTGCGAAATAAAACCTACCATCTGATTGGCCGTAGAGACAATTGTGTTTACGTGATCATTCCAGTTGAGTGAGTTCTTGATGGTAACTCAAGGATATTTAATGTTGAAGTGGAGACAAGTGACAAGCCGTAAAGTTTGTAGTCGGAAAGGAAAGCTGTTTTCCGGGATCGTGAGATGTGCATAACTTTGGTTTTGATAGGGTTTAACTGCATGCAATTGAGTTCACTCCATTGTTGTATTGCAGTTAGGTCTAATTGAAGTGAGAGCACATCCTCGGGAGATTTGATTGGCTGATAGAGAAGCGTATCATCTGGAAAAAGCAAGCAGTTTGTGGTTACATTTCGGGAAATGTCACTTATGAACAGGTTGAAAAGGAGGGGGCCTAGAACACTTTCCTGCAGGACCCCAGAAGTAATTGATGCCCACTCAGAGAAACTACCCCAGTAGGCAACTTCTTGTTGGTGCCCAATTAGAAGTGACTTTATCCATGCCCAAGCAGATCCCTGAATGTTGTAATTTCTAGCAAGCTTGCTGAGTAAGATATGGTGTGGCATAGTATCAAAGGTCTTGCTGAAATCAAGGAAGATTGCATCGACGCGGGGGGGTTGGCTTGTCAAGGATAATTGCCCAATTGTGTATTGTGTTAGTGAGCTGAGTGACACATGATTTGTGGGCGGTGAATCCATGTTGTCAAGGGGTGGGTGTTGAATCCATGTTGTCAAGGCAACATGCTGTAATGTGACAGTCGATTTTGACTGCCACAGCCCTCTCCATAACCTTGAAAATAATTGAGATTAACGAGACGGAAGATAGATCTGATATCTGTGGGGCTCCCAGTCTTGAATACTGTAATTATTTGGGAAAGTTTCCAGTCTATGGGAGGAACACCAGTTGCTAATGAAGCATTCATCAACCGCATCAACGGCAGAGCGATTGATGAAGTAGCTGCTTGGAGGACTCACGGTGTGATAAACCGTCGTGACGTGGTGCTTTATGTGGATTCAGGTTGGACAGAGACCTGACAAACCAGCCAAGATCTATAGTCAAAGGGGTGCTGTCAGGTATAGGTAGGTTGCAAACCGGCGCTGTTTCTGCAAGAACCTGTGCTGGAGTCAAGACAGATGTAAAATAATTGTTAAAGGCTCGGCAAATATCAGCCGATTTATGCAGCAGTGTATATGTATCAGCAACCTTGAATGGCGGAGGACACCTACATGTAGATCTCCTTTGGTCTTTGACAAATTTCCCAAATCTGTTGATGTATTTCCAGTATTCCTTTTTTGTTTTGTTCTTTACCTCATTCCTGATTTGCTTGTAGTTATTCCAATCATGACTTTTACCACTTGATTTGGCTTTGGTGAAGATGAATTGTTTCTGTTTGATCAGACGCTTCAGTCTTGATGTAATCCATGGAGAAGTATGACGATTACGTGTCTTTCATGGAATACTGTCACAAATGGTTACATAAAGTATGTCCATGAAGCCCTTCCTTCAGTGTCATTCATGAATACAGACCATGGTGAGAGGTGTTACAAGGTCTGCAAGTGTAAAAAATCTCCCTTTTGGTACTGGAAGAACGACTTTGTAATTTTCAGTTCAGGGGGTATTTTGTTTGCAGCCAGGGAGAAATGAATGGTAGACACCAGACAGTAACACCCATACAGTGGACAATAGAGTCGGATCAGGCGTGCTTGCTTGGTTGTAGTGCAAGCTTGAAGCACTGGCTGTAGTTAGCAAAAAACCAAACCAAAATCTGCCCCAAATTCCTTCACAGTACATGTATGTCTAACTTCTTTGGGTGATTCTCCAAGCCTGACTCCTTTGCAGTGATTTGAATTTTACACTAAGAAGTCAAACTGGTAATAACACACAGTGAGAAACATAACAGAGCCAAGTGCAGAGCCTGTTGACCACCTGCCATGTTGACCATGCATAGAATCAGTCAACTTGATGGAGGTAGAAACACACCCAGAACTGTAAGCTTAATATCCAAGGGTTATATTCCGTGGAATTACTACAGTTATCATTCAAATAGTGTACAAACTTATTGACTGCGTCAAGTGGTGTAGTCCGACTAGCTTCCTGAAGTGATCCATGGATAATTCTATTTTACCCAAGAGGCTAGTTTTACTACACCACCTCTCCTACCATCGTTAATTGATTAATTTGATCTTAATTCGATTCCCTAACAAAAGAACTTTTCCTCTGAACGTGGTGAGTGCCTACCCCCCCACACACACACCAGTATGCATTTGTACACATTTGCAAATTGTGTACAAATATGTACTGTACCATGTGTACCTACTGAAAAGTGAAGGGGTCAGTTCCAAGATACATGTAGCCACGGCTACCTTACCCTATTAACTACTAGTCATCTTGTGTTTTGATGATTGTTTCAGGTGAGATTGCTCCAACAGAGGCACTGTGGACATGTAGAGCTGATGGTGCTACCAAAGTACGCCTCAATGATGACAATAAAGACATCCCTGTGGAGACCGTTCATACTGCATTAATCAGAGCTGTCAAAAATTACCCAAACTGCATTGCGCTGGCCATCAAACGGAATGGTGAATGGGTGAAATGGAACTATGCAGAATACTATAAGGATGTACGCAGGGCTGCCAAGTCGTTTCTTAAGGTAAATTATCGTACCCCTGCTTATTATACATGTCATTCTGTAAATTTGGGGTCCAAAAGTGTGACATTTTTATGTCCCTGTTACACCTGACCTGTGTGATTTGACATGGAAATATCACTGAAATTGATTTCAAACTATTTCTAATTGTTTGGCAGGTAAATTGCATCAATTCATCACTCTTGGAAGTAGAAAATACATTCTGAAGTTACAAAATCATAGGTCAGATGTGACAGGGACTCAAAAAAATTGGACCCCTAATTGATAGATTGACCCACATACGTGTACATATATATGACATGTGTAAGTATACATACCATGCGTATTAAATGGGTCAATTAAAGAATAGATAAGTATTGAATGTAACAAAAGATGTTTGTCAATTCCATAGATTGTGGATTCACAGAGAAATAGTACACAGTTGATAGACTCTTGAATTGAATTGGAAAGGCCCATGATGGGAGTATAGTACATGTACATGTATATGTATATTCCAAAGCAGAAAGCAGAGGCTCATCAGTAAACTGCTTATCTTTGTCCTTTGAGGGCTACATACATGTATATCAGTTTGCCCTTGCAATAATGAGGTAGATAGGGTAGAGTTTAATCTTGGGATAAACTTACATGCAGCAGACATGCAGGAGGTATGCACATGTACCAGTAGCTGGATGGTATTAACCTTACACTGCTGTAGTTATCTTTGGTGAACATTGCAACTTTGAAGTACTGTACTATCAGTAATCCTGGTAAAGATATATGCAAATTGATACTTTACGTTGAGACAAGGAAGGGATTGAAATAAACATGTAACTCAACGGTGCAGATTGCAATGACTCACTAATATTTCTTCTTAATAACTTTGATCTACTGTAGTGCTCAGTTCTCCATTTACATGTGGGTATAGGTCTGGGGGTGATTCTGTGTCATTGAGCCAGTTCAGTATTTTATTTAGATTTAAGGAACAAAGCATGCGTGCCCGTTGGTTTATGGCTGCCCTAATAACGGAGACTATTGCGTGTTTATACTGCTGTTCTGAATAGCCTTGGACGTGCTTCAGTTTGGGTATACATACATGTGTAAACTGCTGGGTTACCAAACTTGGTCCTTCACATACCCCATGTACCGGTATATTTACATATACCACTACATGTACATGTATGACATGGCTTAGGTTTTCCTGGAAAAGAATTAAATACTACTACATGTACATACCCTTTCGTGCCAAATGAAGGAAATTTCAGCGTGCTATTTTCACTAGTGTTACTGTTATACTAAGCGTTTCATCCCCCATTTTGATGTGAATTGCTTCATTGACTAATTTAATGTGCTTGTGGCTTCATTCTTGTCAAATTTTATAAACGGCTTTTGGATTTCTTTTAAACGTCCCGGTGATTTTCAACTTTTCTGTTTGAAAAATGTTCAGTAAATGCATGTACATGTAAAATAGAACTTTGTGCAATTAAAAGTTAATCTGGGAATGGGAAAATCTTTTCACACTTCAACTCTTTACTTGCATTTTACATCACAAATTTTTCCCACACTGGGAAAAAATTTTCATTCCTTTTCACACAAGTGGAAAAATATTTACAAGCGTGTTCAATGAAGTGTGAAAACATGTTCACACCTTTTCACATGAGTTGGGAATGATTTTTACATTTTTTTCACACTTGTAAGATTTTCATGCTTGTTCACGCATAAGACATATTTTCCCGTGTTTTCACGTAAGGGAGAGGGGGAAATTCCTTTCTTTCATAGTAGTGGGAAAACATTTTCATACTTATTCAAAAGAGTGGGAAAACTTTGAATGAGAACGAGAATTCTTTCAACCAAATTTCCCTTTTCTATTCACAATGTTAATGTTCATTTGCAGTGTGCCATAATGAGATTTTTTGTTTGTTTTTACTGCATGTACATGTAGCTTGGTTTGGAGCGTTACCATGGTGTTGGTATCATTGGTTTCAATTCTCCAGAGTGGTTCATTAGTGACCTTGGTGCAATGTTTGCAGGGTAAGTGATAAGCTACTGGTATGCACAGATCAATGCATGTACATGTACCTAGGTGTCCTTTACATGTAGCTTATAGGATCCACACATGGTTCTCAAAACACCCCAAGTGACCTGTGATGGAAACATACATGTACATGTATGTTTATAAAACATGGATTCAGGGAAAGTACTTCAATCTACATGTACATATCATGTATCTGCTACATGTACATGTAATTGTGGACTTGTATGCCTTTATATATAATATTTGGGCTACATACTTGTACATGTACATTAATTCATCATGAAAAGGGGATGGAGTTTTCCCCAAGTCATCAACCGTCATGGAACCAAATGATTTGCTGTTCAACCCTGATTTAGGACATTGGTTTTTCTCTGCTGACCTGCTTCACTTATAGGTGTACCTACATGTAAGTGTACTTAGTCCCCTCCCCCCCCCCAAAAAAAAAGCCTTAAATTTTTTATAGGCAAGTTTTTCAAAAAGTTGTGTTGCCTTTTCTGTCTTAAAATCCTTGTTCATGTACAGTGTATTTTTCTTTGGCCTTAAGTAGCATTTTCATCAAAAGCTGACCAAATTTGAACATTTCTTCACATGTACATTGTAATGAATATCAAGTATCAAGCCATTTAGTGCTCCAGATGAATATCAGTTTTGGAACCATACATGTATGTGTAGACTTTGTTGTTTTTTTATCACTTGTTTTCAGGGGGTTTGGAACTGGCATCTACACGACGAATTCTGCTGAAGCATGTCAATATGTTGCTGATAATTGCCAAGCTAGCATCATAGTGGTCGAAAACAAAACACATCTCAACAAAATTCTTAAAGTCTGGGACAAGCTTCCTCACCTCAAGGCTGTTGTACAGTATACTGGTAAACTGGAGGAGAAAATGGACAATGTCTACACTGTAAGTATGAAGATAGGATGTGCAAAGTTAAGTCAGGGGTGTATGATAAAATGCACATAATTACAGTATTTGAGATGAAATTATGTACAGGACAAATTTAAAGTAACTCCCAAAATGGCTTAGAAAGATTCCAAAACGTGACTGTCTCAAATGAGTATGGTGCTGTAGTCTTGCTTGGTTACTAGATTGGAGTCACTTTTTACATGTACACTGTATGTACTGTATTGCATGTATGTGCTTTTTCCTCTACTGTGTTGATGGAAATGATAGAGGTCAGTGTCATTTACAAAAGAGAACAATGGGAATGTGGATGTGTCACCGGCGGTGTTCAGGAAACCAGTAGGTGATATTGTGAAAGTTCCCATCAAAGACAAGCTTGAGTACATGATGTACATGTACCAGTGTTGCAATATGCCAAACTAGAAACAGATTTTACCTGTTCCTGTTCATCAAAAGACAAAACCTAGGCACTTTCTTTTATGCTTTCTTGCTGATATCTAATATCATATATGTATGATATATGTATATCAGCACTGATATGTAATCTGAAGGTTCACTTCCAAATATCAGGAACCGATGTATTGAATCAAGTCCTTGTAAGATACTCAGATGTCACACCTCAGCATACTCTGCACATTGAAACTTGTTTTATTGCAAACAAGTACTGTAAAAACATGTCAAGCAAATACCAGTGCACAGAAATGCAGTTTAACAGGGAAGACAGAACCACTTTGAATGTGCCTGCATCAAATGTAAGAAGGACAAAGTGATACATACCTGTGACATCCAAGAACCAGTTGAAGCAATGCAGAACACAAATGCACAACAGACAAACTCAAGTGAGGACAAGTAATGCTACATGGTTCAGAACAATGAGCTAAACACAGTTTACACACCTCCGATTAGTGCCCAGTGCGCAGCATGATCATGATGACGCACTGGAGGCAACACTGAAATGCCTCCGTGACCATTTGCCTACAAATCAGCATTACTTTGACAAAACCAACTTATGACCCTACCTTTAATAGAGCCTGAAAGTTGACCCCTGATGGCATGCTTCTGGATCCCTTGAATAGGAAAAATAATGTGCAAAGACCTTAGAATTTGTAATATTTTTTGTTCAGTTAATTTTTAAAAATGCAACTTGGAAAAAGAGCTTCGGGAAATACTTGCTGGTACATGTATATCAATTTATAGAAACTGAAAAATTACCTGACATAAAAGAGAAATACTGTATCCTGCCAAAAACTGACCCGTCACTTTTTATAATTGATATGCAATTATAAATATCAAGTATATAAGTACATGTAATCAGTAAATTTTAAAGTGTCCCATTCTGTAAAATATCAAGACTACGTGTACATAAATCAAATCAAATTTATAGTAGTGAATATCAGTGGCATATCAGTTTGGAGTTTGATCTAAGTGTGTACTTGTAATGAGTAAAAAAATATTCTGGTAAATGTGGCTGGTAGCCCAAATGTTGCTCCCCATAAGTCCATTTTTGCGAAATGTTGAAAGCAAACTTTAGGAAAATACATGTATGTTGAAAAATAAGGTGATGGTGTACATAATAAGCTACCTTTTATAACATAGAAAACACACACACAAAATGTGTCTCCAAGTAAACAAGGCCCTCTATGTAATTGTTTCTTTGGGGGAAATTAGACAAAATCGAGAGTACAAAAGTACATTTTTGAGCTATATATTAAAGTAAGTGTGCTTTCACTATACAAAGTATTATTACCAAAGAAGTTGGGATGGGGCGTGTAAAATACAGAACCTATTAAAGCTGAGTAACTGTTTGGCCAATTTCCTTTGAGAGTTTCAATTAGATGAGAGACGTTACTGTTTATCATTTTGGGATATTTCTGACTTTTGGGCACTGGTACCGGTACAATATGCCTCAGAATTCAAACCTGCCAACCTGTCGTACTCTTTCCTGAGGTCAGGCATTACCATACAAAAGAGTAAAAGGTATTTAAATGAGCCCTCGGTTCATTTAAAATTCTAAGTACGACAGGTTGACAGGTATGAGGATTGTATTTTACTATTTAGCAGATGCAACACCGAAGTTAAATATGAACAGATGTTGATCTTGCACCCTTCTGATATTTTCAGTATTGAAATCGTAGATAATTCATATGATTAAAATTTGATGTTGGCAATGTTGGAACAATATTGAATAATGACATATCTTGATACATTAACAGACCCTAAATCACAACAGGCAACAATTAATAAGATACAAGGTACATGTATGATTGTCAGTACTTATGTGTTTTGTTTGACAGTGGGTTTCCTTGAAGCCTGGCTGATTGATTGCCGTGTTCTATATTTGTACATACATTTATTTTTTTTTCTTTCAGTGGCCAGAGTTTATGGACATTGGTAAGGATGTAGCTGATTCGGATCTAGATGATATCATCGACTCACAGGCCCCTAATCATTGCTGTTCACTCATCTATACATCAGGAACTACTGGCAACTCTAAGGGGGTTATGATCAGCCATGACGGGGTCAGTTACAGATTATTGCCTTTACCTTCTGCGTGATTTTTTTAAAGTCATTGTTTATGGTGCCAATTAAAAACCACTTGAGTTTGTCTCATCAGGGTACATGTCCTTGGTACACTGGTAACCAGTCAGTCCGCAGCCCACTGAAAAGCCGTTCGTTTTATGTGCGTTGTATGCATGGCATTCCGGTGGATGACCTCGCTGTGAATACTTAATGAGCTGGCGACAACGCATGGAATGTGTTCTGAAACTTACGTTTTATTCGTCAAATGTCAATATTATTTATGTTTTATTTTAGACACTGAACCATTTTTTTATATTATCAAATCAGATTGGAAATTACGTGATATTTAGAGGGAGAATTTTACAACGGAAAAATAGCTTCAAACGTCAACGAATGGGCCTTTAAAAACGACGAGATTTTTCATCTTTCGACTACGGCCACAACCAGATTTGATACTAACGTCACAGATAATATCACCATCTATCTAAAATGGTTGAATTCGGGTAAATATGTACCTAGTCCAGTCAGGGCACGGACTATTCCAACGATTGCCAAAATCTACCGCAACGGTAAAGCCGCCATGACACAACATGCACTGTCCGTGTTCTCATTGGTTGACAATGACATCATTGGGAAAGCTCTGTCACAAACGTGTAGATCGTGCACCTCTGTATGTATGTGCACAGTATGGATCCGCTGTACATGTACCATGTGTCCACACACAGCAAAGAACAGATTTCTTGGGAGGATACATATCAATCAGTTAATTCATGAATTTCTCTTTTAGTATTTTTTATTGTCTTGCGGTTTAAATTGAACTGAAGGGCATTTTAACAAATTAGTGTCCATTACTCACATGGGACTGTTAAATAGGCATATTCATATCCATTTCTGAGGGAAAACAATAATAGAACCAATAATAAAGCACAGATGACGGAGGATTTTTTTTTCGGGATTTTTAATGAAACTTTCCAAAACACATGAAAACAAAACTTTTTGTTTAATATATTTATACCAACTGGTTACATAATAGAAGACAACATACTTGACAATAAACATGTACGTGTGCATAACCACCTTTCTTTTTACATTTAAAACTTACTGCAAATATAAATAACAGCTGCCTCTTTGCAAAACTATTAAAACACTGAATACTGTTTTCCCCACAATGAAATAAACCAACATATTTGGCAAGTATTAATACCTGTGTAGCAAGTGGAATGTAACTCAATATTATGCAGACTCCATAAAGACTAATGAAAGCCATGTTTGATTCAATATTTCGTTCTTTATTCAGAACATCTTCAGGAAGTGGAATGTCAGGTGCTATTTCGAGTGGACCTTGACTGTAAAATATAAATAAACAATAAAGATAAATTTTAGTTAGAAATATATGATTGCAGTTTTGCACCATGTTGTTAATCTGCACTTGTTGCTGAATGTTATGTGAAGGCCAGAAAGTGGCCGGTGGCTTATAAATAACTACAATGTATAAATATTCTTGTGAAACAAACAATGGCAATTTTGTTGGTCCACAAATACATATGCAAAGAAACAAAAATAATTTTTCAACAACTTAACTTTTTTTTCAAAAGAGCTTTGGCATAAGACAACTTCCATCTTTAACTAAGAAAAAAAAACATCAAGAGCTCTACATGTAGTAGTCTAAGTTGTCACTAAAGAATTTCACAATGCAGAGTGTACATGTACCAATAAACTAGAGGTCATCTTTGGCAATATCTCAAAATTAGTAAACACATAAAAACAAACACATTAAAAATAAGTTATAATCTTTGGTTGACATACACGTATGAGGCAAAGTGTTTGGGCATATTGTCCAAAAAAGGTATAAAAACTCTAAAAGAAAGACAACCGTATATTGTTTATAAAATGGAGTTGGATATAAATGCCAATGTTGAAACTTGTCGCTACTGTCAAAGAAATGACAACCAAGCTGCCCACAAACATTCCCCAAGTGAATGTTGTGGCTCACACGTGAGGCATCCAAACTTTCACTGTCCTGCCGAGGAAGAATTCCACTGCACACCAGCTTAGCAGTTGGAAAGATCTCGCGTACGAA